TCGGCTCCCCTAGGCATCCTATAGGATTCCTGTAGGATCCCCATAGGATTCCCATCGGATTCCTTGGGATTCCCTAGGGATCCCATGGGACTTCTTAGGGGCCCCATAGGATTCCCCAGGAGTTCTGTAGGCTTCCTTAGGAATTTTACAGGATTCCACAGGGAGTCTGCGTCCCGGAGGTCGGCTCGGCGGCGCGCGCATGGTTTCAGCTCGTGGGAGTGCATGGGCTGCCTTAAGGAGCCCAAATGCGAAGCTTGAGGTCCGCTTGCTGGTTGCTGGTTGCTGGTTGCTGGTTGCTGGTTGCTGGTTGCTGGTGGGGGGGGGGGGGGGGGTGCTGACCACGGTGGGTTAGGTCAAGGGTTGTCCTTGAAGACAAGCATTGATCCAGCTGCCCGGTGAAGGGGGGGCTGGGTGCAGTCTCGACATTGTTGAATATTATTACTTCTAAAGAAATATTATTGTTGAGACCCCTGGTGCGCGACCCCCCTCCAAAACCTAGGCCGCAGCCTCATTTCCTTCATTTTCTAGCGAAAGCTTCAGAAAAGTGGATTGTGTCCGGATCCGGTTGTTTTGTTGTAATCCGTTTTCCCTTGCAAAAAACACTATAAAATGAAAATTCTTGTTCTTACTTGATCAAATTGCAAGAATCCCTTGCAAAAAATAAGGTAAAGTGGACATTCGTGCGCGCAAGACGAAATCCTTCCAAAACCTTAGGTTTCGTAACGATTTTAACATAAAAACATCAAAAACCCAATGGTTTTTTAAGAAAAAATTGTCAAAATGTCCTTCCGCGCGCGCTGTCCGAATCCCACAAAACCAATGGTTTTTCAACATTTATGTTACATGAGCTCGCGCGAGCTACTTTTTCTTGTTCTAACATAATCAAATTTCAATAATCCCTTTTCGTTTTCAAAAAAAAGTCCAAATTTCATTCCCGCGCGCGCTGTCCGACTCCCACAAAACCAATGGTTTTTCAACATTTATGTTACATGAGCTCGCGCGAGCTACTTTTTCTTGTTCTAACATAATCAAATTTCAATACTCCCTTGCAAAAAAAAGTAAAGTGGACATTCGCGCGCGCAAGACCAACAAAAAACACGACGATCTCAGGAACTTGCCCCAAAAATGTGACCAACTCCGCTCTCTCTGTCTCTCTCTCTGTCTGCTCTCTGTCTCTCTCTCTGTCTGTCTGTGTCATGTATTGTATGTCACAATTGCAGGATGCTGGGCACACGCGCGCCCCGAATAAGTGACAAAGTTCTGTGGGTGTGTACCCACGCCAGTGTAGTAGCACGGTCGTCCGCACGCCACGAAGTGAAGTGTCCCAACGTCATAGGGCGGGAAGCTGGGTGTGGGTGGTGGCGAAGAGTCGTTGGATATTTGGTAGAGCTTGAACTGCCCCCCCACAAAGTGGGGGTATTGCTGGCGTCGCATGAAAACCCTGGCACTGGTGAGAACACTGAGCGTTCGGGTAAAGTGATTGTTGTTGTTGTTGGTGTTTGTTGTTGTTGTTGTTGTTGAACATTATTACTTCTAAAGAATAATTATTGTTGGGGCCCCTGGTGCACGGCCCCCTCGCCGCGCCTAGGCCGCAGCCATGTTTTCATCATTTTCGTGAGGAAGTCTCCGGCAAAACGGGTTGGTCCGGATCCGGTTGTTTTGTTACGGGCGGTTTTCCCTTGCAAAAAATAAGGCAAAGTGGACATTTCTTGTTCTAACATAACCAAACTTCAAGAATCCCTTGCAACAAATAAGGTAAAGTGGACATTCGCGCGCGCAAGACGAAATCCTTCCAAAACCTTAGTGTTCGTAGCGATTTTAACATAAAAACATCAAAAACCAATGGTTATTCAAAAAAAAATGTCAAAATTTCATCCCGCGCGCTCTTGCGGATTTGTAGGAAACCCAACACTTTTTAAACATTTCTGTCAAACGGGCTTTTGCGAGCAACTTTTTCACGTGCTTCGAACTTCTCCAACAACGGTTGCGCACCTGCCAGGGCCATCATCCCTGTCAAATAATACCATGCGGGACACATTCGTTTTTTCTTCGCGCGCGCACGCCGAAATCTTCAAAAACCATTGGGTTTCTTAGGAATTTTAGCACCGCGCAACATAAAATCATACGAATCGCACCGTAGGTCCTCGAAAAACATCTGTACGAATTTTCAAAATTTCTACCCGCGCGCGCTGTCCGAATCCTAAAAAACCAATGGTTTTTCAACATTTATGTTACATGAGCTCGCGCGAGCTACTTTCGCAAGCTCTTTCAACGGCGTTCGCGCGCCTGCCAGGGGCCACAATCCCTTGCAAAACATACCATGCGGGACACATGCGCGCGTGTCGCGTCGTCGTCGTCGTCGTCGTCGTCGTCGGCATGTTACCACAACAAGTCCGTGTGTCACCACGTCATCGAACAAAATCACTGATCACTGTCACATCCGTAACCATCTCGGATCAAGGTATCGCCTGTGTTCTTGGATGGGTCATGGCTTTGTCGGCGAAAGCCCTTGACGAGCAGTATGGCCCAGAGCTGTCGCGGCCTCCTTTGGCCGACTGCAGCCCGACTACTAAGCTAGCGTCCAGAAAATGTTACCACAACAAGTCACTGTACCCATGCGCCAGTGTAGTAGCCACGGTCGTCCGCAGGCCACGAAGTGAAGTGTCCGAACGTCATAGGGCGGGAAGCTGGGTGTGGGTGGTGGCGAAGAGTCGTTTGGAAATTGGTAGAGCTTGAACCGGCCCCCCCACAAAGTGGGGGTATTAGCGGGCGTCGTATGAAAAAACCCTGGCACTGGTGAGAACGGAGTGTCCCCACGTGCTAGTAATTTGTTGTTGTTGTTGTGGTGGTGGTGGTGGTGGTGGTGGTGGTGGTGGTTGTTGTTGTTGCTGTTGTCATTGTTGTTGTTGTTGTTGTTGTTGTTGTTGTTGTTGTTGTTTGTTGTTGTTGTTGTTGTGTTGTTGTTGTTGTCATGTTGTTGTTGTTGTTGTTGTTGTTGTTGTTGTTGAACATTATTACTTCTAAAGAATAATTATTGTTGGGACCCCTGGTGCACGACCCCCCTCCAAAACCTAGGCCGCAGCTACATTTTCATCATTTTTTCGCGAAAGCTTCAGAAAAGTGGATTGTGTCCGGATCCGGTTGTTTTGTTGTAATCCGTTTTCCCTTGCAAAAAACACTATAAAATGAAAATTCTTGTTCTTACTTGATCAAATTGCAAGAATCCCTTGCAAAAAATAAGGTAAAGTGGACATTCGTGCGCGCAAGACGAAATCCTTCCAAAACCTTAGGTTTCGTAACGATTTTAACATAAAAACATCAAAAACCCAATGGTTTTTTAAGAAAAAATTGTCAAAATGTCCTTCCGCGCGCGCTGTCCGAATCCCACAAAACCAATGGTTTTTCAACATTTATGTTATATGAGCTCGCGCGAGCTACTTTTTCTTGTTCTAACATAATCAAATTTCAATAATCCCTTGCAGAAAATAAGGTAAAGTGGACATTCGCGCGCGCAAGACGAAATCCTTCCAGAACCTTAGGTTTCGTAGCGATTTCAACATAAAAACATCAAAAACCCAATGGTTTTTCAAAAAAAAATGTCCAAATTTCATCCCGCGCGCGCTGTCCGACTCCCACAAAACCAATGGTTTTTCAACATTTATGTTACATGAGCTCGCGCGAGCTACTTTTTCTTGTTCTAACATAATCAATATTCCCTTGCAAAAAAAAGTAAAGTGGACATTCGCGCGCGCAAGACCAACAAAAAACACGACGATCTCAGGAACTTGCCCCAAAAATGTGACCAACTCCGCTCTCTCTGTCTCTCTCTCTGTCTGCTCTCTGTCTCTCTCTCTGTCTGTCTGTGTCATGTATTGTATGTCACAATTGCAGGATGCTGGGCACACGCGCGCCCCGAATAAGTGACCAAGTTCTGTGGGTGTGTACCCCACGCCAGTGTAGTAGCCACGGTCGTCCGCACGCCACGAAGTGAAGTGTCCCAACGTCATAGGGCGGGAAGCTGGGTTTGGGTGGTCGCGAAGAGTCGTTTGGATATTTGGTAGAGCTTGAACTGCCCCCCCACGAAGTGGGGGTATTGTCTCGCGTCGCATGAAAACCCTGGCACTGGTGAGAACACTGAGCGTTCGGGTAAAATGATTGTTGTTGTTGTTGTTGTTGTTGTTGCTGCTGTTGTTGTTGTTGTTGTTGTTGTTGTTGTTGTTGTTGTTGTTGTTGTTGTTGTTGTTGTTTTAATTGTTGTTGTTGTTGTTGTTGCTGCTGCTGCTGCTGTTGTTGTTGTTGTTGTTGTTGTTGTTGTTGTTGTGGTTGTGATTGTTGTTGTTTCGTGTGTCTGTTCTGTGTATGGGCCAACGAATTCCATTTTGACGCAGTTCGTCGTCTTGTGAAGTCAGGAAGAGGCTCCGGGGCCATGGTCCACACAGGAGGCCAGCGGAGGCGTGCGGGAAAGAGAGAAGGGGGTGGTTTCTGTGGAGTACCCGCCGCCCGCAGGGCGGCCCCTCACTCTCAGCGGTCTCCTCCGTGTCGCCTCTCTCGCGCGCTGGCGCGCCGAGTGCGGCGAAGGTTGCCGTCGCCTCGAAGAAGAGACATCGGGGGCGTCCAAGAGGGGTGCTATGACCAGGGGTGGGTGTATATCGTGGCCGGGACCATGATATCTCCCTACATCTCATGGCGCTTCTTATTCTGTCAATGCGTCTCCAGCCCGCCCCCCACCCCCCTGGGTGCGCACGTGCCTCGGGCCACGGTCTGCGAACCACCCTCTTGGACGCCCCCGAAGAAAACCAGCATATGCTTAATCTTTCGGAGCTCCGCGCGCATTTCTTGGATCGGCGCTGGGCCCGCTCCAGCGGCGCCTCCAGCGCCGTCAGGGCGGGGGTTCAGCGCCGATTCAAGAGATCCGCGCGAAGTTCCAAACTTTTACAACGATGCATCTTTTCCTCCCTCTACTCGCAGCGCGCGTGGCTCCATGCTTGTGTGATGCCGACAGCCGTTTGGATCAGACCTGGCACGCCCTCGCCCTGTGGCGCAGCCGCTGGCCTCGGCGAGCTTCATCATGGAGCCAGCGGCTGGGGGGGCGGGGGTTCATGAGCGGTGGAAGGTCCTTGTAGTTAATGGCTGTTGTCACATCTGCCGATTCCGATGGCTTACGCCGTTCCGCCGACCCTGGAAGGAGAGACGAGCGACAGGAAACGGAAGCGGATGCGGAGCCACGAGGTGGTTTTGGGAATGATGCAGACAAAGTGACAATTGTGAGAGAAGGGCTACGGTGACGTCGTGCAGGATTTGGTGGTTTCGGAACTTCTGGAGGACGCTCGGTAGATGTGGGAGGTGTCGGGGTGCACGTTCGAAAGCTCGTTGGGATGGTCTTCTCGTCGGACCCCCCTCTCATCCCCTCAGCAACGACGAGCATGAGCGGCCCACGGACCTGGTAAGGAACTGAGGCTCACATCTGTATCGACAGATCTTCCACACGCTTACCGTGGCATACTACGGAACCTCTTTTCTTTCTGTTGCGCTGTGTCGTGTGTTTTGTTTCCCTTCCTTGCAATGCGTTGCGCAGTGCATCTTTGTTTTCATGGTATGCTTTCGAATGGTTTTATTTTCTACGACTCTGCAGCATGCATTGCTACCACCCCTCTCTCTCCTCTCCCGCTTCCTGCTCCCAACTTCTCTTCTTTCCTTTCCAGTTCTTTTCTTTAAGTACGCATTATCTGTACTACTCTACTCCCTACCCTCACTTTGTCTGGAAGATGGAGGGTTTATTTCAATATCTTTGATGACTCTTGGTTTTACACTGGTCCTCCTACTCCTCCTCCTTCTCTTCCTCTTCCTCCTCCTCCTCTTCGCCCCGCTTCCCCATCCTTCCATCCCTGCCTCTGCCATCCGCGCCCCGGACAGCGTTTCGTGGCTTCACAGGGAGCTCCACCGAAGGCCCGAGTGGCTGTGACCACCTACGTCCCGCGCCACCCAGTACGGCGCGTTGTGGGCCCAGAGGGAGCTCCACCGGAGGCCACAATGGCCGTGACCATAGGCGTCCCGCGGTATCCAGTACTGCGTTTTGTGGCCCCATACGGAGCGCCAGCGAAGGTCTCAGTGGCTCTCACCACATGCGTCCCGCGCCACCGAGTCCGGCAATTCGTGGGCCAACAGGGAGTTCCACCGAAGGCCGCAGTGGCTGTGCCCACAAGCGCCCCGCGCCACCCAGTACGGCGCTTCGTGGCGTCGTATGGATTTCACCGAAGGCCCCAGTGGCTGTGACCACAGGCGTTCCGCGAAACATAGTACGGCGTTTCGTGGCTCCACAGGGAGCTCCACCGAAGGCCCCACTGGCTGCGCCAACATGCGGCCCGCGCCATCCAGGACGGTGTTTCGTGGCCCCACATGGACCTCCAGCGAAGGCGCCAATTGCTCTAACCACAGGCGTCCCGCGGCACCCAGTATGGCTTCGCGTTGCCCCACAGGGAGCTCCACCGAAGGCACCAGGGGCTCTGACCACAGGCGTCCGGCGCCACTCAATACGGCTCTTCGTGTTTTCGTGGTTCCAGAGGGAGCTCCGCCGAAGACCCTTGTCGCTGTGCCCACATGCGTCCCGCGCAGACCAGTACGGCGTTTCGTGGCCCCGTAGGGAGCTTTACCAAAGGCTCCTCGCGCCACCCAGCACGGCGCCTCGTGGTCCCGGAGGGAAATTTATTCAAGGCCCCAGTGGCTGTGACCACAGGCGTCCCCTGCCACCCAGGACGGCGTTTTCTGGCCCCACCGGAAGCCCCAGAGAAGGTCCCACTGGTTGTGACCTCGTGGGTCCCGCCCCGCCTAGTTCAGTGTTTCGTGGCCCCACAGGGAGCTCCACCGAAGGCACCAGGGGCTCTGACCACAGGCGCCCCGCGGTACCCAGTACCGTGTTTCGTGGCCCCGCAGGGAGCTCCACCGAAGGCCCCTATGGCCCCGTGGCTGTGCCCGCATGCGGCCCGCGCCGCCCAGTAACTACCGCGTCTCGTGGCCCCACAGGGAACCCACCGAAGGCCCCACTGGCTGTGCCCACCTGCGTCTGGCGCTTCTCAGTACGGCGGTTCGTGGCAACAAGGAGCTCTACCGAAGGCCCTAGTGGCTGTGACCACATGCGCTCGGCGTCATCCAGTACAGTGTTTTGTGGACCCAAAGGAAGCTCCACCGAATGCTCCAGGGGCTCTGACCACAGGCGTGCCGCGCCACTCAATGCGGCGCTTCGTGGCGTCGTGGCTCCAGAGCGAGCTCCGCCGAAGGCCCTTGTGCCTATGCCCACAAGCGTCTCGCGCCACCCAAAATTGTGTTTCCTTGCCCCATAGGAAGCTCCACCGAAGGCCCCAGTGGCTATTACCACGTGCGCCCCGCGCCACCCGGTACGGCGCGTCGTGGCCCGAGGGAGCTCCACCGAAGGCCCCAGTGGCTGTGACCACACGCGTCCGCGCCACCCGGTACAGCTGTCCGCGGCCTCGTCGGGGGCTCCATTGAAGGCCCCAGTTGCTGTGACCATATGCTCCTCCACCCCGCCTATTTCGGCACACCCCTCACGCGTCTCGCGGTCTCATAGGGAGCTCCACCGAACGCTACAGTGGCGACGCTCGCCTGAGCTCCCCATCGCCCTTTTTCGGCAGACCCCTCGCGCGTTTCGTGGCCCCTATAGGGCGCGCCACCGGAGGACCCAGTGGCGACGTTCGCCTGGCGGCCCCGCGTCATTTCGGCACACCCCGCACACGTTTCGTGGCCCCATGTGGAGCGCCACTGGCGGCTCAATGGCTGCCCGCTTCATGTTGGCAAACCCTTTACGCGCTGCGCGGCCCCAGAAGGACATCCGGCGAAGGCGAGACTCACAACTGAGATACGCACGACTGCATTGGTTGGGTCCTTCGCGAGGATGATTTGTGTTTCTGGCGCCGATGCGGTCTGGGGCTGTCTGGGGATATCTTGGGGCCTTCTGGACGGCCAAACGCGTCGCAACTCCCACGTTCCAGATCCAGGGGGGAGGGGCAGTGGGAGGGGCCCAGCTCTCCCGCAAGCCGTGACGCTCCCTCCCACCTGCCTTCCCAGTCTCCGCAAAGGCAGGGGCCGCCATCAACATCTAGCAGGGATCATGGCAGACGCCAGTCAGGTGTGCAATGCCCGAAGAGTGCGCCGCACGTGCCAGGTGCGTGACATTGGGGAACATGTCTACCGCCCCGCAAGCCTTAGCGGATTTGCAAGCCTTGTGTATTGTGTGGGTGTGCACCCGTGAACTATGTCTCTTCTGTAGAAGAGCATGGACGGCCTGCACGCAGCAGAGGATATGCTGGTCTCCCTGCCGCGCCTGCAAGACAAAATAATCAATTCAGAGTGACTGAGCGGTGTCCGCGCGTGATGCAGATCTCGGGCCAAGTGCATTTTATATTTCTGGCTGGGGATGTTTGGTGGGTGTTGGCGCTGCACATCCGGTACTATGCCGCACCCTCGCCGTCCTAGCTATCCCCCGCGAGCCGCCAGCCGTCTTGCTCCCGCCCGCCCGCCGTTCCAGCAGACAAGGGGCGCTTGGGTCCCCCCATGAGAGTTTTCAGCGGTCGCTTGTGTGCGGGCTTCTTGTTGTGGTGCAGGGTTTGGATTGTTTCTGCGCGTGGCCGTGCTTCGCAGACAGCGCCGACTTGTTCGCTTGTTGCGCCAGGATGTTGCTTGTTGTGCCACTCTCCTCTCGGTGTCTGCCGATCTGCCGGCAGGACGGTCGCTCTGCTGGCATCAACGACAACGTTCTTGTGTCGTGGCTTGCCAGTGCGCTTTCTTTTTGGGCCGTTGCTTCTCCGCAGAGGCTGCGTTGCGGGCCTCCAGCTGCAGCCTCGGCCTTGCTGCCGTCTTCGCCGCCTTGGGGTGGCTCTCCCAGTGCGTGCCCGCCGCCTCCCGGGCCGCCCTTTCGCTTCGCCCTGGCCGTGCAGCTACAACAGAGGGGGCGGGGCGCCCAGGCGTTTGGGAAGGGGTGGGGTGGGTGTCGGCGGGCTCGCGGGAGTCGCTGGGAAGGCTGCTGCGCGGCCTGGGAACCTGGCGAGCGGCGCTGCGTGGTTCTTTGGGGAGGACGGCAGCTGACTTGCTGATCGGGCTTGGTGCTCAGGATTTGCCGCCCTGCCCGCCGCTGCAAGCCAGACGACAGAACCGCACCGCTCATCATCCACAAGGCTGACGCCGTTGGTCCCCGCTGAAAGCTGTCCATCCGACGAAAGCAGCCCACCTAGATACTTTTCCGCGTGCTAATCAAGGGTTGACGCGCGCCTTGGCGGAGCAAACCACACAGTCGTCCGGCCATGGGCCTCGCATCAGCCGAACTTACGGGGAATCTGGGACCACTACAAACAAGATTTGTTTGCAGGGCCTCGCTAGGTCCCCCCATGACATGGGGAACTGGGCCACTACGGAAGCATTGGTGGTTCCAGGTCCCCCGCACATCCGACTATCCCCGCGCTGTTTTCCGGAATTCGAACTTCGAATTCTGGGAAGCCTCCAACCACTACGGGAACTTTGTTCCGAATTATGCGACACCCATTGCCAGACGATTGCTGGAGACCCCGCTGGGACCCCCCTCTCCCTCCTCCCCTCCGAGGAGCCCCCCCCGCCTGGTTCCCGGAAAGCTCGATATCCGAAACCACTGCGAGTTTTTGTGTAGTGATCCCAGGTGTCCCCTCCTTCCGATTGGTGAGAAACCCATGGGTGGACGAGTGCCAGTGCCTCCACCGATGCCTCCACCTCCCCCCCAGGGGCTTCACGCCCGCGGTGCTCGAAATTCGAAATTCCTGTCAAGCCCATGGCTGGGCAACTTCTGGGGAGGGACCCCGCCAGGACCTACACTTTCTCTCCAGGGGCCTCTTCCCCGCGGTTTCCCGAAATTCGACTTTGGATTATATATCGCGACGGGGGGGGGGGCGAGACGGGACAAGTGCAGCGGAGGAGGGGTCGTCCGGGGCCAGGGGGGGGAGGCGAAGGGGGGCGCGGCGAGGAACTTTTTTTTTGTTCTTCACCCCTCGCCCTCTCCCAGGGTCCCAGTCCCAGTCCCCGTCCCTGGCCGAG